AGGGTCAATTATGTAAATATGCACATTATGCTAAAATTTCTCTTTATTATTATAAAAAGAACTACACATGGACCTATACTATTACATAGGTTTGGAATTACGATTTGTTACACGACATGTCTGTAGTGACGTCCGAAGTGGACTATTGCATGCTGAAGCGGTATACTCATGAATATCACATTTCTCATGTACTTGGTTTTGAAGTTTCGTCTTCATCTTCATCTGTTCTTAATGCCCCGCCTGGTAAGATTGGTTTCTATCTTTGACATATTGTATGTGGGTTATGGTTATCCCCGTCTCGCTTTTTCATAGAGATTCTTTGTTACTACAAAGTCCATCTTATCGAGCTATGTCCGAATGTAGTGTCAAAGTGTCTGAATGCCCCCGAACGTTTCCGCCATTTTGGTTTGGGGGAACACAATGTAAACTTTATATTATTAATACGATGGTAGTTGTTACTTTGATTACTTTTATACAATTGTTGTGATACTGTACATGACGTCCTCCACCCCCGAACGTTTCCGCCGTTCCGGTTTGGGGGTGTGACACAAAGATTGTCACTTTCAAAGTTTTTTGTGTTTCTCATGAGATACCTCTTGATGTCTCCTTGTTTCGCTATTTTTATCGCTTGAAGAAGTATGGTGACTAGTTTTCTTTCAGTAGTCGTCACTTTCCTCTTTCTCCAGATTTAGCTCGTTCGAATGGGAACTATAAAAGTAGGTTATGGTAGGTGGACATACATAGCTTGTGTTTACCATTTGTTCCATGTTATGTTTCACTTGGTGATGACTCGGTATCGTTGTCTTCCAATCTTCTTGCGTTTGTGCCTTTATTTTCACATTTCTATGTAAAGAGAGCATTTTTGTCGGAAGTTGTACATTCCATGAGTCATATGACCCATTCTAGAAAGCCCGTTGTCAACTACCAGTGTTATTTGTATGTCATGCAGGTTTGTCTAACCTTTTTACTAGATTTAGCATAAGTTCCTTTGTCTTTTCTTTCCGTAGTTGTGGGTAATCTCCTGATATAAATGCTACCTCTGGTGTTTTCTCTATGCTCATTTATTTTTGCATATAGGAGTAAATGCTCCTTTCAACTAACATCTTTTTGGTCGGTGATATCCCTCCTAAGTCCATTATGGTGGATGACGTGGTTCTTGACCAAAATGTGCATCGGATGACTTCGACGCCCGAATCGCTCATTGCTCTTCTAGGGTTTGGACGGAATGCTTTCTCTATCGATCAACAGTTGGACTGTTTTGTGATTAGCTATGTACATGTCGGTTCTCTTAGATCCGTAGTAGTTGTGCCCCTAGGAAGTGTCTCTTCTAGCTGAAAGCATAGGCGGGTCCTTTCACCTGATCAGTTTGAACAATTTCTTCAGGAGATTTCCCATGTAGGTCCTCGTTGCATCTCTCCTTCTTCTTTTGGTCATGTTTCCCCACACCAACTTGTATGTAAATGATTTGGTGTGTGTTGCGTATTTACATTTATGCTATATAAATGATTACTTGGTTCTATTAATGTCATTTTCCCAACTTTGTAGGTGGGTGCCCTTCTTGTGTGTTGTATGAGGAAGAGTTGGACGAAGCATGCCGGTTTATAGTTGGTGCTGAAAAAATTATCTCCGTCGTACTCGGGCGAGATCTCAAATTTTTTGACGGGTTGTTAACCTTGCGATACGGGTTTCTAGCTGAGGAGGTGAATTTACGTGTTGCCGAAGGCATGAAGCTTGCAAGCGATGAAATGATGGTGAAAGCCAGAGAGATGTAAGTTGACATGTCGATACGTCACCGGGATGTCGTGGCCAAGGTAGTTTCTCTAAAAAAATCAAGGAATTCTAGTCCAGGCGAAGTATGAAGCTTGTCTGCAGGAGAATGGTGTGATGCGTGCTCAGCTTATTAACAAGTCCTGTTAGTGTGGGTTATGTGAGTCGGTTATGCTCTAGTGTTTGTAGCCAAGCATGAACTTGGTGTTTTGCTTGTGTTCCTAACCGAATCTTATTTTGTGGCTGGTCTTTTTTGGCACATTGATAGTTGTCGACGGTGGTTGTTTGTTGTGGGAACCGTTCATTTTCTAACGCACTTAAGTAATTGGAGACTTCTTGGGAATTAATTGATTTATGTGTCTGGTAACACATTTTCCTCGTTCCGACAGATGTTAGGTAGATATTTGGCATGTGTTTTGTTGGGTTAATGATAGGTGTCATGAACAAGTAATATGCTACTGGGGTAGTTTATGTGTAATGGATATATCGATGTAGTCTGCGGATCAAGCTACACAAGTTGAAGAATAAGTGTACTCTTGGGCTAAGCGGGTGGCCTATTTATTTAGTAATGATACTCGATGAATAGATAAGTGTAGTCGGCGGACCAAGCTATATGCTTTGAAGAATAAGTGTATTCTTGGGCTAAGCGGGTATCTGATTTGTTGAGTAATGATACTCGATGTATACGTAGTCGGTGGACCGAGCTACATGCTTTGATGAATAAGTGTATTCTTAGGCTAAGTGGGTAGCCTATTTGTTGACCAGTGACACTCGATGTATACGTAGTCGGCATAACGAGCTACATGCTTAGAAGAATAAGTGTATTCTTGGGCTAAGCGGGTAGTCTATTTGTTGAGTAATGATACTCGATGTATACATAAGTGTAGTTGGCGGACAGGGCTACATGCTTTGAAAAATAGGACCGACTGGAAGTGCAAGTCGGCGATGTATCTAAATGGAAAAGGAAGAAGGGGATGAGAATACGGGTGGTTGAGAGGCTCGTTTGCTTTTTAAGACTAGTGGATGTGGGTAACTAGTTAGGAAGTGTTATCACACCTAAAAGTTGCCACCTCAAATTCCATGTCACCCCACGGTGTTATAACACCAAGTGAGAAAATGGGCAACATATTATAACACCCTCAATTTTCCATGTCATCATTTTTTTTTCTTTTCTCTTTTCACCTTATTTATTTTCGATTTATTTAATTTTTATTTTTTTATTTACATTAGAATATGTATAAAAAATAAGACATGCAATTTAATTGAATCCTAAATTATACATAACATTTAAAACTAAAAATAACATTACACAAAAAACATTGAACGAAAATAACATAAAAATGATACAATATTCATAATCTAAATATTTCTTCTCGATCCTATCCTCATTTCGGAGCACTTGCACTTGTCGTGGTCCCAAAATTTCCTCACTAGTCTGAAGAATTGTTGGATCCTTCGTCATTTGATCTTCTCCGCTTGTCTACAAAGGAACTCCAAATGTTGACGTTGCACTTCAACCTTTTGTTGTGCGATTAAATTGTGTTGGTCAAACTTTTCTTTTATTTCCGCCAACTCTTGTGCTATTCTCTCATATTCCTCCACGTGTGGTTGAGCGAGCTTCGCTTTGTCATGCCCGACCGTTCGACATGGGGGGGGAACCACTTCGATGTTGTCGGGATGTCATCTATGTCGGCGTTTAGGTTGATGTTAGTTCGTGCGTTGGAAACGCCAAACAAACTAGAAGTGTGAGACTTCTTTGATTGTGCCTCTGACGATGTTTGAGCTTTAATCCATTTTGGATCTATTCTGACAATCTCCAGTATTTTTTCATACTCAAAAGTGTTCCCTATTTTGATGTGATATTGTTCCCTCACGGCTTTGAACACATCAAAATCATGCACACTACTTTGCTTTTGCGAAGAAAGCCTCATGAAAATCCCATTAAATTTGGTGCACTGACGACTGATTGGAGTCCACTTGCTACTAAGCATATCAATATTGTGATATAGTTGTTTCTTCAAAATCGCATGGCATTTTCCGAGCACGACTTCCCGAAAACCAACTCTCCGCATATCATTTTCTACAATTGGATTTTTTGAAGTCATGAACCACGCCACCGCTAACGCGTACTCCTCCTCCGATGTCCATCATAATGGAGGTTCTTCTTCACTTTCTGCGATTGCTTTCCCTTTCTGTCACACCCCGCTAAAGCGGAAACACGAGGCATGGCAGTATAAAGGGTTTCATAGCAAAAGTTAAAAGACAACACCAACCATAGTATTAAAATCATTACAAATTTACAATGGGTTTGAAGAACTTTTAAAAGAAATTACAATGTAAATTGAAATACAACACATGTGAATGCTCCTAAAAGTGAAGTGTCCCTAAGTGCCACTTACTCGATGATTCCTGAAAAAGCATGTACAACGAGCATCAACTATAAAAATAGTTGGTGAGTACTCACAGGTTAAAAATAATATTGGTTTCATGAATCATAATCAAAGTTTTAATAGAAGTTTCCATAAATAAAGTATATTGTTAAAATGAGTAAATAAGTTTGTATAAA